ATACAAGCGTGATACAGACCGACGACAAGCTTACTATCTTGTGGTGCAAATGCTATTCAAACCATCGAGGAAACCATCACCGTCATTTTAGCATTCAACTGTTTACCTTTTGAGATCAAAACTTCAAGATAGGAATTGGAAGCGTGTTTCTCATCCATGGAGGGATAGCTCCCATCCGTGAAGGGGAGATTCAAGATTATGAAAGAAATAATAAAAAAGATCGTGGAATTTCACACAAATCCACTTTCGCCCACTGAAGGACCGAACGACAGCGTCTGAAGCGGATGTGAGCGACAACAACCAAAAAGATTCACAACATTAGAGCGGAATTGTTACTAAGGCAGATATGGAGCTCTGAGAACAGGTGAAGGAATTGGGAGCAGACTTGAGCGATAACCATCTGAAGGAACTATGTGGCATCAAGGCAGCATCGCTGCTTTAGGCATAACTAGAGTCTCATGGTCGAGCAAAGGAATTGGGAGCAAACCCGAGCTGCAGCACTTGAAAAGAAAAACACAACATCAAAATAGCTGGAATGAATTGAAGCGGACAAGATTAAATGAAAGAATCAGGAGTAGATTCGAGCGATGGCTTCTTAATGGAATGGCGCGACAACTAGATTTTTGGAATGAGTGGCAGTCGTGGAATGAAACGACATGAAATTCAGGACTGGAGAATATATCTTCAAAGAATTTGAGCTTGAAACAAGAAAGTATGGTGGGTGGGATGTCGTCATAGGGTTTCATCCAGCTGTGTAGCATCTTTTGTCACGACAATCTTTTAGGTGGAAGGTGACTCGAGAGTAATGATCGGAATGAGACAAGTGGAGAAGAGCAAGGGAGAGTCTAAGGACTGATTTTGATACTACAAAGTATTCAGGAGGCGGACAGGAAAATGGTGTTGAGAGAGGATGCTAGCTTATGCAGAACCACAGTCTCACTCAAAACCATGGTCAAGACGATACATGGAGCAGGATTAGGCTATTTGGGGGAGTTGTAGAGTCTATAGGAATTCAAGTGTCCATAGTAGAATTCCCTGAGTGTTCAGTAGCTTCTGCAACAATTTTCTGACATGTTTTATTAGTCGAGTGGGTTACCACCTCCGAGGGAACACGAACATGTCGTTACATTGAAGGAATGGGTTCAATGTAACAAAACGAATCAAACACAAACGAACAAATCTTTGTTCGTGTTCGGCACGTTTATGTATCAAGGCCAAAAAATTTGTTTGTGTTCGACTCATTAACTTAGCGAACAAATCGAACATGAGTTTTTTAACGAGTCGAATACAAACTGTGCGCGAACAATGAAATGTTTTAACAGCCCTATGCACGAGCTCTAAACCACATAGGTTTTGTTTGGTCACGTAAGTTGTAGTGGTAAGTTGTGATGATGACGGTATGCCATGAAGGCCGGAGTCGAGAGTGGCACAAACTGTGGATCACATAGGTTGTAGTTGGTTATATAAACAATAATAGTGGGTTGAGATGACGTCCATAAGTCGTAGTGGTTGTAGTCGGGAGCAAGAGTTTTGGACCAAGTATGTTGTAGTTAGTCACAAAGGTCATATCGATAAGTTGCGATGACATTCATGGGTCGCAAGGGCCGTAGTCTTGAGCTTCACGAAAGGAGCTTTAAGAGTCTGGAGAATGTCAATATCTTCATGGCATATTGTTATGTCGTCTTCGAAATTTGTCGTTGCACTGTAGATGGGTTACATTGTTACTTTCAAATGTACTACGGGTTTCCAAAGCGCACGTTGTGATTTCACAGAAGATTTTTCTGCATAGAGCAGGTGGCAGCCAATGATGGTTGACAACGATGACTGTAGAAGTCAGCAGCGTCCAAAGTTGGTCGGAGGTAACAGCGGTGGCTGATGAGCAATGTTTGATTGTGGTTGGTGGTTGCAAGAGTAGGAATTGTTCGCTATATTGCCAGTGTTGGATCCTGGGCATCAGTTCCCTCTTCTGCTAGCTTTAGCATTTTTCTTGCCTAGGGTCTAGTCCCCTCTCACGAGGGGGTAGGGCTCTATTTATAAAATTCAAGTTACAAATAAGGAATGAATCTATATCACTCTTGATTGGGTTTCCAATGAGATTTCCTTTATCAGATAGTGTTTGAAGAACATTTAATTGTCTTAATGATGCTGAAATTGGGCAATATTGAGCTTGTTGGATTTGATTGTCGAGAAGCTCAATTTGATTGAATATAAGCATGTCATATTCAGAATTTGTTTGACCTTCTAATTATGTTTGCAAAACTCTCAAAAGTGGTTCAACAACTTAATCTGGGCTTAATTTGACTCAAATTAAATATATTTTGTTATCGTTGGGTCTGTCTTGTCGAACTAGTCAGTTTGACTTTAAGTTTTCTAAAATCAGAGTTCTTGATGAATTTTAGTCAAAGTTTGAAATTTTTTGCTGAAAAATTCATCTTGAGATTTGTGTTGCGCCTCGAGATTCATGTCGAATTGTGAAAATTTATTGATGGTGTGTCAGACGGATATAAAATATATAATAAGATAATATATTGTACTATATGATTAGATTATCCTAAATTTTCATGAAGGATCATAATTGAGAAATAAATTATTAATTATTTTATATTGACTCGATACGTTTAACTAGCATGCATATAATTTTATTTTACATTATATTGATGTAATTTAAAATTATGAGTATTCGATGGCTTATTTGCAGCTAGTCATATTTTAAGCTTCTATTGATTTTTACATTTTGAGAAAGAAAATGTGAAGTAAAAGAGTTAATGCTTACATAAGATGCTATCAAAACAACGGAAGATAATTTTATTTGTGACTATTTACTGGTAAGTTTATCTGATGTTTATTTAATTAAGGCCTCTTTCAATTATTTGGATGACAAATTATTACTAGATAGAAAATTTAATTTAACTTAATTTCACCATCTGACTATTTATTCCCTCCTCGAAAATTCCAAGCCACAGAGTCAGACTGTGATAGTGAGATTGGTTCACTAGTTGAATTGAAGTCAAGATGTCATTAAAGCTATACGATAAACTTCAACTATTAGTTTGGCTCAACATTAAACCTAATTGAATTCATATATAAAATTCAACAGTTGAATAGATTCAAAGAGTGCAAACTTTCTAAAGCAAAATATGCATGCATTTACGTTAGGCAAAAGCAAAATCAAATATATTGAATAGCAAAGCTGGCTCTATGGTGTGCGTTAAACTGAGAAGGCAAAAAAAAAAATCTGAAAAGGAATATGAGAAATGGCATTTTCTATGAATGTGATACACTTCTCTATTCTTGCAGCCCTTTCATTTAGTTTGGATTCAACATTTAAATATTTCTCAATCAATCCTCATGGAGCTGCTAACTTCTTAGCCATTTTCTCCTAGGATTAACATTTAAGCCTCTCAGCTTTCTCCTATCACTTCAAAATAGTATTATACGTTAGAATATGGTATTCAAAAATGACAACAAGAGTGACATCAAGAAAATTTTGAAGGATGATGAACATTGAGAGAACAAAACTGAAGGCTATTCACGCTTTTAAGTCAATTGAATCTATGATTACCTTGTTTTTATTTGAGATAATGGTCGTGAAACCAAAATTCAAATTCAAGTACATCTCCGCTCCTTGTAATTGGTCAAATAGATCATTGATCCTCAATATCAGGTACTCTGTTGTTCCTGGTTGGATTTTGTCAAGGACTCTTTAAGAGAATTAATCTCATTTCAATGAGCTTTTTTAGTTGATCATTCGATGCATGTAGTTTCTACAGTGTCATATTATAAAAGCACTTGAAGACCAGCGTGGCACCAAGCAACTTGATGGTGTTGTTATGTGAAATCTGATTGTGTTGATCAATTGTTCACTCAGAGCCCCAGGTTTTGCGAAGTTTGATGTAAAAGTAATGTATTTCAAATACAATTTAATTCTTTTACACTCATTATGTTTACAATTTATTCATTTTCAGCAAACTAAATAACCCTTTAGTTTTAACTCACCAATTCAAAGGGATTTATATTATGATTTTATAGAAGATTCACAGAGAAAAAGTTATGGGACGATTGAGAGATTAAAGAGCGAGAGTTTTACAACAAAATAAAATTAGGATTTCACAACAAGGAAAAAATAAATGTCGGACATCTCAAAATTAGCTTCAAAAGAGAATCGGTGGATTAAGAAAAGTTTATCCTTGTCCATATTTATACTTTCCTTCAACGAGTATTTTTGGGCTTCTATAATATTATTACTCCTTGAGAATTAATATATTATTTTTCAATCACATCCAAAATATTTCGAGAACCAAATAATGTCGTTATATAGAAGATACAATTTTCATAACTCTCTTTCATAATATGATGCACTTGTAGGTTCATACCACTTATCATCTCCTACAAACATAGCTTTGATTCCACTTTTATGGAAACTTTGTGTGTTGGACAGAGAAACTAGCAAGCTCATCTTCAACTTTTGCTCTCAAATTTATGTCATACAAAATGACATGTCTAAAGGCCTATTTGAGCCAGTTTACTTTATTGAGAACAACTTCCTATATATAACTTATGAATTAAAAATCTATAATTTCTAAGCAACTCTAGATTATACAATACAATGGTTTTCTTTTTGGTTTATTTTTCAGCAATTTCAACCTCTTCCCTTCCTAAATGAAAAGAAAACAATTACAATTCAACGGTATCATGATTGTACTTCATTACAAATTAGTTCTAAGCAGACAACTATAACTCCCATTCCACATACCAATATTGTGTCCATATACAAATTTATATCAGAAAAATTTGTCTCAGCATTATAAAAAACAGTAAAAATTCTCAGAATCATCTGCCTTATTCATAAAAAAGATCAGCAAAAGTTTTCATAAGCCCTTAGCCTTGATCATATATATTCTTAAAATATAAAAATTAAAAAAAAATAAAAATATTTAAAGAGAAGAAATAAAACTCATTAAGAGAATACCCCTTAATAGCAATAAATGGTACAATCCCAACAAATATAAAATACCAAAATAAATAAAAAACTCATCTCATACAATCATCCATCCCCCTCTAAGTATAATGAATCGCAATAGGGCTTCTAACCTTATGCACGCCATCGCTCCAAACCAGCGATCCCGACACGATATACGGCGGCCTTCCACCAATCGCCGCCACCCCCACCACCAGGCTACTAAACGACCTCTTCTCATTCACCTTCCTGAACTCCAATTTCGCCGGACTCACCTCAATCTCCACCCCCGGCGGCGCCTCCACAATCGCCTTATAAACAGCCGCCCCCCCGCCTACATTGGTCACAACCCTCCTGTAGGTGGCGAGGGAGGGCTTAGCGGAGTCCGGCACGATGTAGTGAAAGCTGGGGTAGTTAAGGCCGTCGTATCCCTTGGCATTGGAGAAGTTAGCGCAGTTGAAGTTGCGGGAGCCGGTGAGGATTGCGACGGCGGTGGTGTTGGGGTGTTTGGAGCAGAGGAAGCGGAGATAGGAGGATTCGGTGATATCGTAGAGGAGGCCGGGGTTGAGGGCGGCGAGGGGGTCGATTTGGCCGGAGCCGTAGGAGTATTCGAGGTCTGATTTGGGGAGTTTGGTGGTGGGATTTGTTGGGGGGCGGGAGG